GCAAAAACACTTACTCTCCCAATATTGTTTTCAATAATAAACGAAATTTCGCACTGCAGTTGCAGTAGAGTTTTTTCAAAAAAGAATAATCCTAGAATTGTAATGAAATTAATTGTTCAATACCAAACTTACACTGAAAATACATGAGATCCATCTTCAGTACAATCATTCATCTGGAAAGCTTTAAGTAATTGGATTCCGTTTCAGTATTTATGGGTGCTTATTTTAATAGTAATAATAGTTTTATGCAATGCTGTTGTTAGTACAATGTAGAATTCTCGACATGAAATATTGCAACATGTTCGTTCAATTCTCCATGAACTAAATAGATTTATACAAAATTAGTTGCGATTCTTATAAGCAAAGATCAATAGTTATAACAATGGAAAACAGATATGGATGTTTGAAAGCAAAAGTACTTTCAATTAGTTCAATTCTTATCATTATGAATACAGTGGTCTTGAGTGCTGTTAGATGTATGAGGGCGGTTATCAATTCCCGGTTGCCCACACCGTGGAAGGGTTCTTCTGGAGGTACCTGGGAAGGAAATTGGACTAGAGGTGGTCTTAGTGACCTGAGAGCGTGACCGCAGTGCCCAAGAGACAGCTGCTTGAAATCGGTCACACACGACCTGGTCCTACGTTGTAGCTGGCTGACTGACTGACAGACAATTATTATCATGTTTTTTCGTCAGATAGAATTTATGTTAATTTCGATATTATAGAGCACTTGTATTTTTATTCAGGTGAATGATTTCTAACGTAGATGAGTCGTATTTTTCCAAATATCATACCATATACCTTAAAACCATGTAACTTCTATAAACAATTATAATGTTAAGAACATTAAATATTATTTTGTTTCTAAATAAAAACTCCTTATCAGTTAGATTTATTTATTGAGCTATAGTTTGGGAACAAATATCCTTGTTACTTTATAACTTACTCTACTATTATGATATTTTAACTTACATTCATCTATATGCAAAATTTCTCTTGAAAAGATAAACAATGTAAACCGATTCTATCCAATTTTCTAACTGGGATTAGATACATTAAGAACTAGTGAAATTAGTTTATTCTGTAGCAAACGTGAACAAAATTTATGGACAAGCAAATGTACTTGAACATACAATTATAGAATTTCTTAGTAAAATCTAATGTTGTTTTACTTATGATTAATGGTGGAAAACATTAAGTATAAAAATCGACAAACATTTACTTTAGTTGTTTCGTTAAAACTTATAGTTGTCTTTCAGACAAATAACCTCGTAATCTACATTATAAACTAATTAATAAACAATCATTTTATAGTCGAGAAAATAATTTATTCAATTAATGTTCCAGATGAAAATATCTTAACATTTCTTAATGAAGAAGAACTATTTTCTTGAAAAGATAAGCAATGTAAACTGATTCTATCTAACTTTCCAACTGGAATTAGATACATTAAGAACTAGTGAGATTAGTTTATTCTTATAGATTGTGTTAGAGAACATTCAGGTTTAAATCAATGGCTTAAAAGTATACATTAATCAACTTTGTACTTAAATGCAACATATACACTAATACGGGTACAGAGCGCATATTTGGTTGTTGAATCAAGATTCCAGTTGTTCGATTTTGTATACTTCTTAGATAAATTCCGTTGTATCATCAAATACACTTGAAAACGCTACACCAAAAGTTCGATATATGCTTTTGAGAATGATCTGTTTCAGATAGTTTTGCTCAACAAATTAAAGGCTGAAAAGATAAGGATTGGAAGAAATGTGAATATGTAAATGAAAAATTTATATGTATATAAAATAAAAATAACCTGAAGATTCTGCGCAATGATATGGTCATACAGATGTATATATAGGTAGTAGTGTATATATGTAGAAGTCTATAATTAATCGTACAAACAAGTTCAAATAACTAATAGCAACAAGACGATATATTTATTTTCCATATGATTGTCTCACACAACTTCATATATGGGTCTATACTAACTTTTCATTTAAATTCATGTTCTAATTGCGAGCTTAAGCAGAAATACCGTTCTCAATTTTCAAGGTGGATAAACTGAAACTACCATATTATAAATCAAAACGTAAATATTTAATACTGTTCATTAAAGCGATACGTATAATCATTTTATTTTCTTTATTTTAAAAATCTAGGGATATTCTACTGGTTTAAGTATTATAAACTCTGAACAGAATGCTGAATTACGAGGTCGGATTAAATCATTACTGTTACGAACAAAACGCAGTGGATAAATATCTACTCTTTCAATGTTTCATTTTATCATGGTCATAACTATATAGGACTTCAATGAAATTCTAATATGAAATATTAATTAGATAACAATTTACCTTTAATAAAGCTTGCTATAAAATTATTTTTTTTTGTATTTATGTTAAGAAATCACGTTATTGGAAGATTTCCTGTGTGTATTATTGGTTAATGAAACAACAGGATTTTAACCAAATAATATGAAATTAGAAATGATTTGATTAGTTACGTGGGATCTATGGAATAAACATACTCTGAATAAGATAAACAACAACTAACTACTCCAAATAAATGAATCAATAAAAATTATTTAATAGACACCTAGTTAAGAATTCTGTAAAGTTTAACATTACACTCAACCGTTGGATGCCGGCTCAGTGGTCTAGTTGGTTAAGCGCCTGGCGCAAGACTGGTAGGTCCTGGGTTCGAGTCTCGCGGGGTCGTGGATGCGCGCTGCTGAGGAGTCTCACAGTAGGACGAAATGGCCATACAGTGCTCCCAGGTTTTCCATGGTGGTCTAGCTTCAAATGACTCATGTATTTTAGATTAAGAAATGGAGTTATACTTCAGCTTATATAAAGTCTATTATTATCATATATAAGATGATGACCTAGTAGATAAAAAACGTTTAACAGAAATATGAACATGCCGAAAATTAACATAGTTCACGAGAAACAATACTACTGCATGCAACATTTGCGGAATCAAATGAAGTTATTTTACTTTAAAGTTCCTCATCAAGACCAGGCACTGTAAGGCATTCCGTATAATTAACAATAGCAAGCGTCACTTGAACTTCATTTTGCAAAGGTTACTGGCATTAAACTACTCCGACAGAAAACTGAGATCAGTCTTCCTTTGTCATGATAAGTATAACTGCACACAGATAATCTTGTTACATTCCCACACTTCAACCTTTCCGTCAATATTCACTCATTAATTTGATTCCCGCCTTTATTCATGTTAATTGATGATGCATCCACTTGTTCTTACTATGATTATGTAATCCAACATTTTTATTATAATTTTTATTAAATAAATGCTTACCCCACCTATTCTAAGTGATTTACTCTTTTATGTATTCAACCGTCCCTTTCGACTTCAATTAATATATCTTGAACCTTTTACTTCTTATGATTTCCCGTCACGCATTAAATCTTCAGCCTCATTAACCAAAGTATGTCAAACAATTGCTTATCATCATGTTATTGTTTCTGACATTATGTTGTTTACAGCTGATGAGAGGTCTTGAGGTAGAGTTAATTCATTTTTTCCTGAGAATTCTGCCCGCTCTTTATACAGGAATTCACCAGTTCATATATTAAGCAGTAGCACAAGAATTTAGAAAAAGTGAAGACTATTGATGCTAGCCTAAGTCAATATCATTGCCAAAATAAGTTACTATTGTTATTTGCGCATCTGAAATCTGTTCCGATCTATTATTTTCTTGTAAAATACCATAATACCTTTTTTGGAGACATAAAAGCTCTCTGGTATTGTCCTGTCTTTGTTTTTACTTATATAGGGTAGACAGAGATGAAATGTTGTTGTGCATTAGTCGTTGATGTATCTAGTTAAGTTACATCCAATACTGCAATCCTTTTGTTCGTATGTCTGGTCACGACAGTTACTAAAACACAACACGGATAAATTGTGCTACACAATGACCACCTAAATTGAAGCAGTTATAGTTAACAGTTGATAACCTGGGGATTATAGTCATAAACTCATTGGAGATTATAAGACTTAATGTACACCTATACTTGACAACCAAAGTGAAGATTTAATATGACAGAATAGATTATAATAATAAGAAAATATCCACTTGGATGTACAGGATTTATTTTCCAGTGAATTTATTGCCAACATCATGAAGAGGAAGAAGAATAAAACTGTACTACTTTTCAAAAGTATTCATAACTTCCATATAATCAAGAGCTGAGTTTTTATACTTGGTTATCTATGTAAAATTGTACATATTATTATATGAAAAGTGAATTTATTTTTGTTTTTCATTTATTAAAAAAAAACCTATTCTGAAACATGTCCAAATGAAGATTTAAAACTGAATGAATGTTTGGAGTGATTTTCAAAGAAAATAATTGTAAATTGGTAATGTCAATCTATATGTTTCCTAATATGTGAGCTATTGAAAACAAAGAAGGTACATGCACATACATGCAATAATAATAAACAAATATATTATCATTATTACTATTGTACATGATTGATCATATTCTAGAAAATAATTCGCTTCGTATATACTGGACCTGAACTGTAACGTAATAAAACAGAGTTTTTGCTGCTGCTGCAAAGAAAAAAAGAAATACTTATTGGATAAAATAAATAGACTAGAATTTTATTATTGTGCATTAAGGAAAAAAAGAATCCATTTAATGATAAAAGGCCTCTGTGGTGCTTGTAATGGAGTAAATAAAGATAGTTTAAAATAGACAGAGGGAAAAAAACGAGCAAGGGAAAAAGTGAAGGAAGCATAGGAAAGTTTGATAAAAATGTAAAAGTCTGATGGAATAAACAAAACGTGCCTGAAAAAGACTTAAAAAAAACAAGTAAATATTTACATAATTGAACTGGAAGACACTGTGTAATGAAGTAGAGAGGATATAGAAAACAGAAAATAGTATGTAATCAATTAATCTGCTCATTTCTTGACAAAAATAAATAAGAATATGATCACAACGCAGTGCAGTTGATATATCATTATTGATGTGATGATGATGGTGACAAACCAGTAGGAGACATTGATGAAGAACTAGACGGAGAAAGTGTGCCAAATCCACGCCATTTCCATGAAGAAAGTGGATGATTTTTAATTTTTTCTTTACGCTGTTGTTGTTGTTGTTCTGCTTTAATACGAGCTTTTTCCATTTTAGCTAATCTTTTTTGTTGAGCAAGTTCAGCTTTTTTAGCTTTAAAATTAGAAAACGATTTGAATATAGAAGGAATCTTATTAGAAGTATTTGATATTCCAGAGATTTTATTTGATGGTACACGAGGTAATGTGGATACAGCATCAGAAAATTGACTGTGTTTAATTGTATTACGATTGAGTGTTGCCTCTGGAGATGAACAAGAATCTGGTGAGTTTGAAACTCCTGGTAAAGTCGACTTTTCATCTAATAAGAAAAATATTGAAAAAAAAATTGTTCGGTAGATATATATTTCATATAAACAATTTTTGGTGAATGTGTACGTGTGTGCAACAAATCACTTGCAAATATTTCAAATCTATATAATTCACTTCAAAAACAAGAATTCGTTTGGACCTAAAGATGTTACACTATCAAGAAAAGTACCAATACTAAAACAAACGTAATTACAACTAGATTGGATTATTTTGACATCTATGATAGACTAATATACAATGATTAAACTTTAAAAATTTACAGTGTAAATGACAGTGTTGACTGTCATGTGACTGATCTGAGAGCTAAAACATAAGGTTTTTAAAGATGTTAATTAATTGGGCTAATTAAAATAGGAGAACGAAAAATTCACAAAAACTTCAGAGGCATCAGAGATATGTAGGTAAACTGTGAGATCAACCTGAAAAAAAAGTTCTTGTATCCTCATTTAATAAAGTAACGAAATAAAGGACAGCATCGATTAATACAAATATCTAAACTAAATCTGATGGATAATTCACTAAGTAATTATTCAAAAATATGGAAAGTTTGATTAGTGTTAGATTTTTATGATGAAACCAGTGCATTATTCTAGGTTTTACGAATTATGTACAGTAGAGCACTAACATTTTGCTCTGGTGTATAAGCATAATGTGTGTAGATAATATATGAAGAGTGAATGTTTTTGTAGACAAGTGAATTTACCTATGCAATAACTTAGCTAGCAGGTACGTTATGGTCATAACGCTAACAAATTATGGTTCAATAGGTGTATGTAATCTTAACAAATAAAAAAGTATTCTGATATAAATTAGGAATGTGATGATTGTATCGAAGTATTCAACAACAGGGTTCGATTCAAAATATTTTGAAAAAAAACAACTGGATGGGAGCTTAAAACTTTGGTGGTATATCTGTAATCTGTCATGAATTGGCAAGAAAGAAAAAAGCAAGAGGATCGCGAAAAACTAAACTTTTTGAAGAGAAAACGGGCTATATGAAGATTAGTTTTAGTATTATAACCACATGAATACGTGATTTATTTAAGCAAAAATAAACAAACTTATGTAAGAGTTGGATCAATAAACCTTTTATACATAAATGTAAGGTTGAAGTACTAATGGGTGACTAGTTGCAGATTGGAACACATATAAGGGTTTTTATTAATCTGTTTTTGAAATCCAGGACTGCAATTGATCAGTCTTTGTTGACATGACGTTATCCTGAGAAAAGACCTTTATATAGCCTCTCTGTTACAAGCTCCAATATACGTAGATTGTGACTAGCAGTGGAATACAGGAATGCCAACGAAGAAATACAAATCCTGAAGAACAAACTTCATACGTAACCTATTGAACAAGTTAGTGATTAACTAAACTAAGTATTTCATTAGGGTTTTGGAGCAATCAATATAACGTTCGAATTTCTATACAAACAATTATTCTAAGATGTAGGTAAATCCAGCCAGTGTAACGCAAATAGAACGAGAAGTGCAGTCCGGATTCCGCTATTAGTTATAATTCAAATATACTCAAATATGAGCTCTAAAAAATCATTTAATTAAAGATACCGGATATATGAAACTCAGAAGGTATTTTTAAAGTATGTATTTCGGAAAAATTACAATTGAAACGAAGAATCCTTCTATGCAATGACTTTGACAGAGTATCTTATAATATTCTTATTATTATTTATTATTTGAACACATAGATATTGGTACAAGGAGGCACCAAATACATATGCATCACACAAATCTCATTTGACATGTGTGAGGGCTGTGATACTGCCCGGGTGCCCAGACCGAAGGTGGTTTTCTTAGGGGGTCACACCCGGAGCCTTTGACCAAAAGGTCTAATCCACAAGGTAGTGGAGCAATATCATGAAGTTCTATGGTAGCAGGTGACCAATAATTGGTTTGTACAGCATTTGTTCCTTTAGAATACTGCAGCCCGTGTGCACCATTGGTTTTGAATCAGGGTTTTCCAACTCCCCTAGGTAAACTCTCCGTGTCCACCAATCCGGTTAAAGCGCCGGACATTCGCTTTTCGTTCCCTCAATTTCGTAAATAACACCTGTGGTGCGAGAAGGCAATGAGTAGGACTTCCGTGGCAGTGGTTGTATGCAAGTGGCCATGTGAGAGCATTTCGAGAGTGAGAACGAACTTTCCCCACTCTCGGCCGTACGAGGGCATTTGGGGGAAAATCGCCTACAATATTACGACCTTCATGTACTTATTAATTTAATACACATAAATTCTGGTACAACTAGGCAATAAAAATAAATATTCCCCACACGAATAAGGAAATGAATTCTTGGAGCGACATAGAGGTGGAGGATTATTAAAAATAAATGGATAAAAGTCGACGAAAGTAGTGTATACTGGGGGACTGTTTGAATACATGGGATACCTGTTCCTGCCATCTCGATATTTCAAAAAGTTACCTGTTTTTGCGCATTTATGAAAATTCCACAACGTTTCTCTGTATAACTTACAAAAAACAATCAGAGACATAATGGTGGCTGGCAGTATGCATTGAAAAGAATGTACATTGTTCAGATGTCGATACATGAAGTGCTAACATCTAACTGGCGATCACTAATTGGCAAGGTTGACTGTTTTCAATTCCTATTAATTTTAAGCATGTATCGTAATTGTGGTGTAGTCGCAATTCAAGAATCCTGGTTAAACGATTTACAAAAAAAATTTCTTAGTATCACTACAAGATTTTAATATCTATCATTAGTATCGATCAAGAAAGGAAAATTCGCAGAAACACAGTGCTGAGAATCCCATGTCGTACCAAAAATAGAATATTGAATGAAGTCATCAATAATAATAATAATAGTCCAGTTGAAAATACAACGGAGAAGCCTTTCAATTAAGAGAGTCTTAACCACATTTTATGAAGAATGTAAAGGAAAATTAAGGCGGGATTACCATTAGTTTTTGTTCTGAGTTATGTCTAATAACTTCTAAAGCCACCGAGATGCACTGTATCTAAGACCTGAACCAGCGAGTCAAGATAGACCCACAAATCCTAGTCCTATACAGCCTCCTTTGATACATCGGCACCATATAATAAACTGACTGCCTTTCTGCCTTATTCACCCGAGCCCCAAAATGGCAAATAGAGATATGGAAATCTCTGGAATAAATCCGTACGACATGCCCAAGCTACTGAAACTGGTGTTTCAAGATGGTGACACTAGTTACATTGTGATTATTGAGCTGGAACGCAAACTGCTGAACCTCAGAATTACTAATGTGTTGTCGCTGGATGTCAGCAATCCTTTGGAGACAACGATTACCAAACACAGAAAGTCGTTGAACATAACCAACTCAGAGAGAACAGATTTTCCAAGTATATAGCATAACTGCTCATAAATATTGCTACGTTTAAAGAGATTACGATATCACCTAAAACCGGCGAACGGTCAGTAATACAACAGGATAAGCAAAACAATTACACTGCCCTCAGCCCTACTAAATAGAGGGAGAAGACCAGATTCAGCAGAGGGAAATGTATATTTCACAAGCAGTCGGAAGCACGAACGAACAAGCAACCTGCAAAAATGTTCTTAGAAAACTTTACAAAATAGCGTACTAAAAGAGGAAACAAACCGGTGACATTTAAGGTCCTTCTAAGCGGGAAATACAAACTGAAGGTAAAAGTGGATGCTTTTCGTAACTGAGAAATTCAAACGTCCAAAATAAAGTTACAAAAATAAGATGTTTACCAAGTGGTTTATGGGGACCTAGCATCTCCAACCACGACACGTTATAAACCCGGAGTTTTACAACCAAACCAACATCAAGACAACCTTGAAAATGGTCCAGATTGGTATAAGTCACTCTAACTTTTAATTTCATCACCGACGCCATTATCGGAACTCATACAATGACCCAGATATACTAAAGTTTCAACTACGTCTAACGGATCGCTTCAGAGGTTGAGTACAAGTACATGTTCTTCTCGTCTTTGAGCTGGACGTTTTCTTTGGTGGTTAATAATACTACTACTAATATCCGGTTTTTCAAACTAGGTGCGTAAAACAAGAACCTGAAACATATTTTGAAGTTGAGTGGATAGCCAACTAAGCTTCTACTAACCTAATAGTAAAGTTGTTTATGTCATGATACTTTAATGTCCATGTAAAGTACACACAAATCAGGGCTAATGTAACATACTAAGACCATTTAAATATCCTTTATGATCTGTATTATATTTCACTTCAGTTCACGAGATATCTAAAATATTTTTAAACATGATCAATCTCTTTAAAATTACAAATTAAAGATATGTGAAAGGATAAAATGATTCTCGAAAGTTCGGATGAACGAAGATGAACAAATTTTAAAATGATATCTCTTATTGACATATATCAACTGAACACTACACACTAATATTATTTTTATCCGTTTTAATAAAAAAAAAACAATCGGTACAAATAAACTCACAAATTTGCAACATATACAGACAAGCTTTAACAGGGACACCGTGATTTTTATATTACTTGTTCGGTTTATGGAACATCACAGTAACGAGAATTTTCAGGATATCAATGTAAACCATGATCGATGTTTTGTTTATACTTAATGTCAGCAGAACAAGTTAAGAAATGAAATACTTTAGGTGCGTAAATTCAATGTGTGCATATATGTGTGTGTGCATTTCAGTGGCGTAGGAGTGATATAGCTTACCAAATCAATAACCATAAGATTGATGAATATTTCCCTTTTGTCTAAAACCGAACACTATGCAAGCTAACAAAAGAAATGTTAAAATTAACATAGAAACAATACTGTAAATTGTCAATTGGTTCTACACACACAATATATGTTACATTGATAGCTAAGAAAGTGGGAAATATAAACTTTAAAGAAAATATCTTATCATCATTATTAGCGCCCTTTTTCATATCATGATTTTTTGAACAAATTTCAATGGTCTACAAACAATCAATAAATTGTGCTGAAATAAAATAGAATAAATCCATCTGAGAGTGCAAACAAATCTCTAACAGCATGAAACCAAACACAATAATATCCTATCTTCACATACAAAAAGTATGTAACAAAAATTAAAATGTTACGAAATCTAAGACATCATCGATTTCAAACCAACAACGGCATGAATAATTCAAAACATGAAATACCATATCTAACACTAACCATAAAATGATGGATTACAATAAAAACATTGAATGATAAGTAGAGGAATCTTTTGTTTTAACGAATTAAGATGTCTTATATTTTTTTCATTCTTCCTGTTGAGTTTGTGGCCGACGAAATCTCAACGTGGATACGAAACCACTCTATTCCTTTTGTAACACCTGTGGCACAGGCTAAATGTTCATCTGTGAGTATACTCCACAGTAATTTGCTTAATATTTCTTAGAGATTGGGAAATATGATTTATGAAACTTTAAGAAATGAATAAGCTGTTAGTAAGCGATCACAGTTGTCATCAAGGTACTGAAAGTATATGGTGAAATTACCAGATAAGTAGCTCAGACTTTAAATTTAGGGTTCCAGGTAAAAATGGCAAATCTACTGACTAAGTTGTAAACTTTCATCGGTCAGGATGGTTGTGAGATTTGTTGCATGTCCCCAGTTAACATCCATTCAGGCATGCTATGTTGCCTAATATAAGGATGGTTAAAAGGAGGACTAAGAGAAATCAGAAGAAAACCCGGTCTCCATCCAAGAAGAGATTGAATAATGATCTGAGCCGTTTGGTGATATATAGAGAACAACCACGTAATTGTAGTTCATGATTGAAGAACTTAGGTGATGTGGTTTAAAGGCAATTCCTATATGAGCCAAAACGACAACATAACGGAAGACTCTTAGAGATCGTTTACCCATGTTTTTACTCTTCTCACAGCTATAAGTATAGTAACTTTTCAACTAGTTCTACATAAATCAAGTATCGTATGTGGAAACCGAATGATCACTTCAAAAGGATTAGTTTTAAAACGAGTATTCCATATGATCTGCGAAAATTCATTATTTAACATATAATACATTGATTTGATCTTGATTAAACGATTCCATTGAATCAATACTTTCAAGCGAAAAAGCGCTAAACAAATTTCGCTATCGTTCATTATCATCAACACAGTTACAACCATACAAAAAACGCATTGTTTGAAAGTTCACTCGGATAGTCTCGATGTAGTTGAAATGAAAACTGCCACAGACAATATTATCATCATTATTATTCTGTATGGCAGACATTTTTATCAATTAAAAGATTTCATAATCAAAGTAATGTACTTGTATATTAACGAAATCATTGACAAAAATTATAAACATGGAAGCCGTAGATGCGTATTCATACTCAAATTAGTCGTATTCTGCTATCACTGAGTATCAATTATTATTATTTAGACAGATTTCATCCTAATGTTTTCCGGTTTCTTTCATTTAAGCTAATGTGACCAAGTGAATCATTGTGCGGTTTGAGTCACCTATTTCTATGACTGCAAATAATGTAATAAACACTGTTGCGAATACTTCCAAAAAATGTTTTTCAGTCATTAAAATTTGAATGCATGATACGCGGAAATATTTTGCAATATTGCACAGTTGGTGCTGAAAATTCTTTACAGTAACAAATCTTATGGTACTGGATACGTCTGTTATTTATTATTATTATTATTATTATTAAAAACAAGCTAATAATCATACCCTTATTATGATATACAATCTCAATGATATTTAATACATCTGTTTGTCGTTGGTAATCTTTCTTAACCGAGAAATTTTTTGACGGTAAGAATAATTCAACGTTTAATATAAAGTAGATATACTACTCAGTAAATCAAATTTTATCAAATAGGTTATTAGTAAACACTAAACATAAGAAATTTAACTGAATCTAACCGTTTAAATCTATCTGTTTGTTTGTTTTACGAAATAATGTTGGCGAAACCGGTGCAGACAATGAATCCATACAAGAATAGGCATTAAATTCCAAATTTTCATCGCATGATTGTTTAGTTATCTCTTCATTTTCATATCGTTCAGCAATTACAGTGGTTACATCCGAAGTAACAGAATTGAATTGACAATTGAATGACTTATCTAAAGATTTAAATTTATTATTATGTAGTTCCATTAAACGTTTTATTTCTTTCCTGCGTATTTCATATTTCATTTCAATACGTCTACGATAATCACTTTCTTCACGATTCAATATTCCCAAAAATGTATACAATTCTGATAAACTAAATGTGGTCCACTAAGAATGGGAAAGAAAACAAAGTAGAGGCATTATCTTGTAATATATATAGTATGATGAGCTGAGTTCAATATCCCTTCTCAGTAAAAATGTAATCGTATAAACAACTTGATGGAACTGTATGCTAACTTAAGATTAGTGGCGATGAAATATTTAGCTACAGCTTTTGTGATATTATGCTTTAAATGATAACTAATGTGTCATTAAAGGCTCTAGTATCAACCAGAGCTTTCAACCAGCAAGTTGCGGATTCAAATTAAGCTCCATCTATTTATATATCGGGTAAGTAATATCAGTGGCAGTCAGATGAGTAGTGTGGCTCAAGGCAAAGTACATAGCTACCTACTTGGTAGAGGAGTTACATAATACTTCAAACCTTGGTGGAGATATGGTCAATAGGTTAGGGCACGCAAGTTCCAGTTACTAAGTCCCATATTTAAACCCCATTCAACTTGGACTTGAGAGAATTTATGGTAACACTAACCTCCATGTGAAAAGTATGGCTTGAAACAGAGTATTTGGAGGTGTACTTAATAAATACGTTCCACTAACAAGTCTACCATAGTATACATTTGAATATGAGAACGCAGTGTTTTCTTGTCCAGTTCCGACTGCAAACCTTGGTTTAAAAAATGACCAGAAAATAGTATCTAATGAAACACCTCAGGGACAATATTATCCTACTGCACCGTTCACATTTTCATTCATCACCACCTCAAAGATATTACAGAACTTATACCTGAATCCCAATAAAAGTTATCAGTTAAAAATTAAATCCAGATACTTTTTTACATGAAAGTTCTTAGTATTTGAATGCAACGAGCACAATATATCTATCCACAAACAGTAGAAAATTTTATGCTTTTAATTGTTTCGTAAAAACAATACAGTGATATATACGAATACTCCTCAAGATTAGAACGAATAGTTTGACAGAAATTGGGCGCCGAGTATAGAGAAGTCATTATATGTGAAAATTATATTTGAAATAATCTCAGGGATTGAAATTAAAATTTAATTTTGATTATTACCCCGAAGAAGTCCAGACAAGTTAGCTGGACGAAACGTTGGAATTATTTAAATTTCAATCGCTGAGATCATTTCAAATATAATTTTCACATATAGTACAGTGATAGTCTGATAACAAGCACATTTATCCCAAAAGTTTATAAATCCCATTTTAAAAAACCCAATCAGTCTATAAACACTAAAACAGCTTGTAGACTAAATATGATTCGATAAACAACTACTAAGTAATAGGCTTATTCAAAGTGTCCAAATCAGCTGATTAATAAAATACATGTACACAACAAACATGAAGTTATTGACATATTTTTTGAGTTGCATTTATTTTATTATCACATACAAGTACAATTGTTTGCATTGAGCATATTTTCAATGAGAAATTTTCTTAATGAAAAGCTATTATTGGGATGTTTAGAAGAAAACGACATATTTCTAGTTGAATTGTAATTTGTAAAAAAAAATAATGATTGAAATCTTAGATGCCTAAGCAAATCTACTTGAGGTAGTATAAATTTTGAAGCCTTCTCAAAAGTCATTGATATTTAATGATTCAATAATGTTTTTATAGTTGATTTATCAATAAAGTAAATTGCTCAAATTATTACGAATTTGTCATAAAACAGTTAGAACTTAATACGTATATTTTTAATACATCGAGCTATCCGTTTAACTGAGATATTGAATTGATATAAATGGACCATCTCCAAGCTACAAACAGCTTTCTGTGAAATTTCTGAAATAACAAAGATGAACGTATTTAGGTTAAAGCCAAGCTGATAAATAACTTGAACAGACAGGCAGCACACATTGAAAGGATTTGTCTTGATAGAAGATTTGACAGTGTGCTCGAAAAAATATTGTAATCAAATAGGAAATAAAACCTGTGTGTACCGTCGTAACATATTTAAATTAATTACCATGTATAGTTTATTATTATACAAGGTTTTGAGCTACATAATTTGCTGACGAAGGGTCAGGATGATTGCTGTCTCGTTCTACAAATCGAAGTAAGTGAGGGTAGCGGACGTACGTGAAATGCAGCGGTTAATCGTCATGTTCTGTAACCATTGAGGCAGTGATGTCTCGTAGGTAGATATACTATGGATAATGATTATTTGTCCTTTTTAGATGATTGGTAAACCTCGCCTGTAACCCTTCTAGGGTCACTACCGGTCCCAAGCCCGGACAAAGGAGGAGTGTCAAGCATGGGGTCAGCAACTTCATCCCTCAGAAAACAACATTGCTGAAAAAAACACTAACCAGAGAAACCCTGGTCGACAGGCTGTACTCTCACGAGGGGTGGGTAACAGGCGTAAGTAAGCAGGATGATTGATAACACACAAGTAATAAATAACTTACTTCAATATCACCAGTTTCATTCTCTTGTAATACTAATCGCTTCACACTCAGAATGTTGTTAAAATTACTTGGATCTTGATCGACCCACTTGAATAGTAACCCCAACGGTGATTCATTATCAAATAATTTTCGTACAGAAACTAAAGGATAAAAGAGAAGTTGAATGTAATCAAAACTGTCTTCAATTACATTTATAATCTTTGAAGAGCGGAGATAGTTAATGCTCAATGGAAATTTGATGGAAAGAGAAGAAACTAATATGAGGAAAAGTTTATAACTGGAACACATTAAGTAAGAAAAGGTTTAATGTAAGCAGTTTTGGGACTACACACACACTTTGTACAAAAGATAATCAAACTACTCAATCATCTAAACAGAAATCGATGGAGCAATGAGTTCGGATTAGTATAATTACTATAAGCTAAGAGATAAGCAGGTAACATGGATACGCAAATTGATCACCGAGTAATCAACAATATTATGCTTCTTTAATCCTTCGTGAAGATTAAATTCGATCGACCAATTTTTAATGTGGTCATTAGTCTAGGTAACTCGAAATCCTGTTCACTATTTTTCAATGCTAGACAGAGTCAAATGGTAATTGTAACCTAGTAACCTAATTTGAATGTTTATAAGGTTGAACAAAAAGAAAATATGGATCATGTACGTTAATCTAATAAGAGTAACACTTGTAAAATATTATGAGTTCATGCATAAATACACATGTAAATCAAAGTTATGCAACAATTTAAGCCTCCGGTAAACAATTGTAACAAGCTAAATGGTTGTCTTTTGCATATAATGTAAAGGTTACTAGACAAATATGGAATTGGAGTATCAAACAGAAGTGATATTTTATACAATAATCTATGCCATAAACATGGATCATGATAATAACATTCAGTCAGCAGACACACGGATACCTAAACAAACACTATCGTGAAAAATACACTGGATTTGGAAGAAAAATGAACAAAAGTTAGCTAAGCACTGTTCGTAGAAGCAATAAAAACGATTGGTGCAGTTAAAATTTAAACTAAAAATCCTATTTAACAGGTTAACAATCTAATAGCTCATTAGAATTTTCATCGATTAGAATTTTTAGGCAAATCAGAATTAGTCTATAATTTAGTCGAAGTAGCGGTAACTTCCAAATATTAAGCTGCGGGTTCGAATCTCTCACAGTTTTAAATCCTATACATCATTTTTTTCTGCGGTTTATTAAAAACCAAGATAAACCTAGCTGCCTAGTGAAACTAATTTTTATGATGATCCCGGAATAAAAATTGGAATAGGAAATTTAGAACAAAGCCTAAAGGTCATGACTCAATATAGTCCAGTGCTAAATTTGTTGAATTCGTTAGCTGATAAGTAGAATTTTTTTACAATCTTTGTAAATAACCTAGCACTGCTGTGATACAATAGTTTCAAAGATATTACTCCTGAGACTGATTGAAAACAAATATAGGTCCATTTATTCCATTGCACATTTAATCCATTAATAGAAAATTTAAGAAAGTAGGTTACAAGCTATTTATCTAAACTCTGAAATAAGTGAATTAATTTGCAAAATGTTGTCATCAAGAAAAAACATGATACAGAGGACGATTAAAAACTATAGAACACTGTGTGGTTAGTCATTTCCCGATTTTAGGATCTATAGGAATGACTAATTTTAGCTTAAGAACAACACTGAATCCAGGATTTATATGTTTCACAATAAGCATTCTGTGCTTGGATTACTGCTAAAATCCACTGACTTCATCCAAATCGTGATATAGTAAAGCCATTCAATGTAATTCATGTACAATGTTAAATATGTGGGAAACTCCTCTTGTTAATAAACAATCGAGACAAAATTGTCAAGTCCAATATGAACAGTGCACGTGTAGCGAGTGTTTACTTTACTGACCTACTGTGTGTTCATCCCTAGCCCCCTCAGCAATAAGAATAATATCAAAACACAACCAAGTGAAAAGCTAATACATAATTATAACCCAACACACTATGAATATTGTAAACTATGCTTCAACACTTTAATGATCTAATCATCTGTTTTAGAAAGACATATTAAAATATTACAGTACATCACATGACATCGTTATAACTGACCTTTCTGATCACCTTCAATTGTGTGTTCATATAAAGCAAACTTTTGAGGATTATCTCGTATACCAAATCGATCAAGTAGTGCACAAATAACCATTTGTGCAGTTGTCGATCTATAGAATAAAATAAATGCACAAGAAATAAACTACTTTTTTTTCTTTTAAAGCAATTCACATCAGTACTTCACACACAGAGAAAGATAATGAACATACATCTATTTGAGCTATTTATCAATTAAAAAGCTCTTTTAAATAAAATCCATTGAAAATTAAATATATTTCAAATTAACAACTATGTGATATATCATCATTGAAATAGTGCTTTTTACTAACAAACTATTATATTGATTATCACTTTACACTAAATCAGTAGAAAAGAAGTATGAGTTTGTATATCAAGTGATAAACAATGAAATCATTAAAATTAAATAAAAATATCACTTAAACTCGTCATGTTTATTAATTTATGAACAATAAATAGGTTGAAAGATAATGTATACATACACGTTAAAATTTTATAACTTATTTCTGCTAAAATTTGTGTACAAAATGAACTGAGTAGAACAAACTCATTTACCAAATACAGATTAGTATGTATTCATCTTTCTACCACACTTCATTTGTAAGGCCCAATGATATTACTTGGCTGGCATAAGCGAAGTAGGTGGAGAGGGATCCGAACTGACCACCTAATAGTTGAGATTTAAACGCCCTAAACACTAAGCTACCGCTCGATAAACCATAGAGAATTAAGCAATCAATTCTCCTAATTTATGTTTGGGATACTTTAACTGTATTTACCCACGAGTTTATATGGAACAGAAACTAGGATTCGCATGCTCACGGTAAGCTCATATTGAATATATTACATGTCAAGAACAAAATATCAAGTTTCTACTTTACACTCATAGAACAGAAGTAACTTACAGTCGAACATGCAACAATTTTGTGCTTCCTCTTGGTAACCGAAAAGTAGATACTGTTGAAGTTGTTCTACCTAACCGACGATGTGACTCAACAATATTTCCATCAGCTTTATGCACTTTATTATTTGGTGAAAAATATGGAATGTTGGCTGATACAAAGGAATGTGGTGTATTAGAAGGGTGTTGTTTCGAAACAAGATGGCAGTTATTATTGTTGTCGCCTTGGACCAACCAAAGATTCTGATCATCTTCAGATCGATCACTAACATCTGCCCCATCGTCATCTTCATTATCATCATCATCATCTGTTTCATCACTTTTTGCACCAACTACGTCGAAAATGGAAGCTGGTCTAGCTGTAAGTAACATTTGAATAGGGCGGAGTAAGTTTATATGTACACGAACTTGACCTTCGCAATCACATGAATCAGCACCAGTTAGCTGTAAACGGAAAAATATAATAACCCTGTAGTAAACAGAACACTGGAAATACACAGGATAAACATTAAAGTTAACGAACTATCTTCGACCACTTTATTTATCTGAACACATAAATATTGGTACAAAGGGGGCACCGAATACATATGCGCCACACAAGTCACTTGATTTGTATGTAGGCTGTGGTACATTGGTCCATTGGTCCAAACAATTCATCTGGCAACCGAGTTTGAGGCTCCATAGTAAATTTGAGAACTATCTCACTTCAATTGTTAAAGCCTTCAGAAATATGATTGATATCTAATGTTTTCAATAAACCCAGTAACAAATATCAGATCATTCGACCAAAGGCTCAGATAAAAAGAGTGTAACCGTTAAATTTACCTCTACATTCAAAAAGACGGTTACAATTCTTCATCAAATTAGATGGAATGATATAATTTACGCAGGAAAACCATATTAGGTTTAGTGCTTGAATAAATAAACAGTCTGACATGCAAGCTACACTGCAAGTACATTATTAAAGTGAGCTCATATCAATGAAATCATGGTAATCAATGCAACACATTTTCCAAGGACACATTTATCTGCTCGTCTTCAAGTAACTTCCCAATGTGAAGGCTAGTGATACTACATAACAGACCAAACCAAAGGTGAAGGGAGCCGGATTCAAACCACTAAACTAATGAGTCAAAATCAAATTGGCTTCATATACTAAGAAAAAATAATACTCGAGTGTTTAACATGGTCCAGTAAGACTGATCACAAGAAGTGACACTGAAGTTGTTGTATTCATACACTTCACGATTACTGATGGATTGACAGCCAATATGATGAACAGGTAATTAACTGATCACAGTGCAAGTAATACACGAAATCGACTTTTTTCCACTCGTCTGTGATAGATAACTACATACCAGAAGGAAGTTATGATATAACTTAGTCTGTTAAGTCTATCTGCTGGTTACAGATGCTTAACAGTATAACATCATAAATACATGTTCACATAGTAAATTTTTGATTAATCGATACGACTCGTCAAAGTATACAAATCTGATTGTTAATCTAACTGTAAATAAATCATATGAAAAGTGGTGTATTCATATATCATTTTGATCTATCTTGGGCGCAAAATATATTCTTATTTATGGTCCTTGTGTTTTACTTGAGTCGTTTGATTTACGGGTTTCCAGTTACCAGGTATCAAATCAGTTAAGTATCCCCGCTTATTCAACAAAAGCCCTTAAAACAGAAATAACGCAAAACTACGAACCAAAAAAGATGATGTTCTCTTATTGTTATTACTAACCATAAAACTAATAATTTATAATCCCTTAAGTTTATCCTTTATTTGTCTGTGACTGCAAGAGTTCTTTAAAATCATAAATCTAAGTATTTCGATTAAACACGAGTGGATAGTATGAAGGGATTAGAGCTCTTGAGCATTAACAGAATAGAACAAGGTAGAATATAGTCCAACACTACATTTACTCACGTTGCTACACTCTGCAAAGACACAAATAAAAAACGTTATTAGTCAAAAGAATTAACCAGAAGGATATGAGTAAAAGGACAGTGTGTTTGCACAAGTTATCAAGTTACAGTAATCTCAACTGAAGTTCTCAATAATCGACTAATAACAGCAAGCCAGAAAGTTTACAATTCCTAGGTCAATATTTAGAAACATTGTTAGCTGGTATGATCACTCGGAGACTAACCAGTACTTCATATTGCAATTCGGTGGTCGTATCAAACATGCATTGATTTGAGATGGTTGTGCCAACACTTCTTACATTATTATCTTGATATTTAGTTTGACTTTATCCTACCTCTTAACTCAACTCTTGGACTAACAGTTGTTTATGATTTCTCAAATTTTGCAATAGACCTGATTTTTCAGTCAATTATATCCTCTAAATATGGCATGTTAAAAACTTTGGTAACAAATATTCCTTACAATAATTATGGCAAGTATTGGGTTTAAAACGAACTTACACTAGCAGCTTGTAATCCGAATTCATTTACACTAAAGATTTGAATTAACTGTTTCAAACGCTCAGAAGACCAAGGCAATATTGCTCGCGGTCCAACCACCATAGGGATTAATGGAAGCGCATTTGAAGAACGTAGATGAGTCTGAAAGCTTCGTTTTTGTTTGGTGCGAACAAATTCCTGAGTTGTTTGCATCACACTGGCAAGGCCAATATCAGAAACTTCTTTTTCTGGAAACGAACTTTCATCTGAACGAGTAAAAGGATTGGAGTTCGAGGTATCTGAGATAATATTTGTGTTCTGAAGTGGTTTAGAAGTGTTTTGTAATTCAGTAAGAGATGGGCTTAATTGTCTCACAAGAATCCCTCGATCTCGAATCGCCTCCTTATCTAAGCTTGAAAAATCATAAGCTAGGCAAACGTTTGGTTTATTTCCGCATAGAAATGAATGCCTACTGACTAATTTTACATCAACTGATGTTTTCGATTTGTGAAACTCAGTAGCACGCCTTGACAATGTTGATCGAGATAAGCATTCAGCCTTCTGCTTTATTGATATTCCATTATCCAGTTTAGCAGGAACGTTTAACGGTGTGTTGAAGTTTGTAGTCATGAAAGTGTGCTGACCTTAAATGATTGTAATAGAGAAAAGTAAATTCAATCAGAAACCACGCGTTCGATTAACAAAACTCCATTTCTTTAGCGTGAATCAAATAGAATACAAAGATTAAAACCTGTACCTTACAATGAATTCATTGTTTACTTCTCTGTGAAATCAAAGCCAAAAAAAGAAGTTATTTGGAACCAAAAAAGCAGGAAGTCGACAACCTATACAAACGATTATAACTGACTACGAAGTAAACGTCGCATATAAAACAGAAATGTTGTTAAGGAAATAACAAACATGTGTTAATTCCATGAACAAACACTCTTATGTATGGTCAAACAACTACACCGAGGTAAAGACAATAATTTGTTTTTCCGCATATTGGATGCTGAAATCCCTAGTTCTCGGTAATAGCGAAGTTGCTTACGACAGACGAGTAGTATAATATTAAAACAGGCCGATTTCCAATTTAAATGTTCATGAAAGATCAAAGGTGTTAGGGATCTGCAATACCTCTCAAAATACTCGTAAAAGTTCGCGATCTTTTAAGAAAGTCCTAATCATTGTCATCAATAGGCGAGAATGCGGAACACGAAATTGATTCTCTTGAACTAAATCTTCACGTCAAAGGTTTTAAGGGTGAATTATACCAATGAAATAACTTATTTTTGTATACAAACTCGAGTAGTGCTACAATCTTCGTAAAAACCATGATAATCCAAAGTGAAGAGTACGAATTATGTACTCTATAAAAACCTATTACCAGTCCTTAATTGGATTACGGTAGATAAACCTTATATTTCTGCTAATAAAAATAATATATTTGTAATATCTCAATGAGTAAAAGAATACAATTTTCTGACATTTCATGGCTTAGTAGAGGCCACTTCGTCATGAAATGTCAGAAAATTGTATTCTTCTACTCATTGGGATATTACAACCATATCATTTTTATCAGTAACAATCCAACCAATGTTCAATTTATTTGAAATCATGAAGTCAAACCTTGGTAATGATACCTACAAAATTATATTTCTGCAGTTTTATTCTTAATTAGTTTATACTCTTGCTCATCTTAATTTTATTGAGCATCTAACTTCCATCAGAAGTTCTGAATAACCTAAACAGTCTTATTTTGCAAAACGGTCGCTTCCCAAAATGTATTCCGAAACCAAACATGTTCTTTATGAACTATTACGTTCGATGTATGTTCATATTATTGACACAGACTTGGCAAAAGACAGGTCTGGGCATAATCGTGAAATTATAATTAATCTATAAAAATAATGAGAGCATATTATTTTCTTAGCTCAAAATTGATTTCTAAAATGTTTTATTATCGATTTACCTACAGAGATCACTAATGTATGATAATGGGAAGTTCTAAAAACAACATGAAAAGTTTACGGTGTCTTAGTTTTGAAAATCCATCAGTTAACGTTATTTACAAGTCGAAAAGTTATCTTAGTTTATCCATGGTACGACCATTAAATAAGCTTGAACCTCCTATGAAAGACATTCTAATGTAAATTTAGGGATGTTTTTAATGCAGACTATCTGAGCTGCAATATATTACATTTTTGCATATGAATAAAGTGAAGACGATATGTTTTACGGTGGCTAAGCTATTTTAGCTTGAGTATTTTTAATTAGTAAAGGAATGTGAGTAATAAAATAAACATTAAGAAAGTAGTATTAAAAATAACACTAACTCGAACTAGGAGAGATTGATTGTAAAGTAACTCTTTCGAACGCAAGATGATCAATCGTTTTGTCAACAGGACTATTCACTCCATCTAATTCATTTGAAGAAACAGTATCAAGTAATGGTATATCACATTCAGAAGTTAGGTGATTATTTACATGGAAATCCAGTTGGGAAGACTTAACTAAAGTTCCTTCAGACGACATATAATTAGTGCTATCATTTTCCGGACTTGTTGATAACTTAGAGACTGAGCTGTCAACCTGCTGAAGTAAAACAGATTGAAACGTTGGGAATATATATTTTGTATTACAACTAAACATTAACTGATTACAAAAACGGAAGACTTAAAGAAGTTTATGTTCCGCTATTTAACACACAAAAATTTATGTCATTCTCTAAAATGTTATTTCAGAATACTAATAATATTAGCCGATTATTGCTCGAATAACCATAGACAACGACTGCTTTGTCATTATGTATAATGTACAAATAGCACATATCCAGTAATCAGCAGATTTCTGAGACAATTGAGAAACGAAAGTCACTTAATTATTAGTCACACATGAATAACTTTCCTTGAGTCAGAAAACTAAAACTTATTGTTCATTAATTTGGATTCTAACTGGGTTTGTACTATAAATCTTAATATATTAGTTTACACTATAAGTAGAGTAAAAGGTAGATGACAAATAAAATCTAAATAAAATAGGCGACGATTGAAAACGTTTTTGTACTATTAAAATACTTGCCATAGTTTAAGCTTAATTTTCAGTGCAACTGATTAGCTAAATACACTTTTATGCACTTAGCGTTGATCCGTTGTATGAATACTAACCACACTATCAAATTTCCTAGATACAAAGAGTGTAATGGGGTTTAAATGTGAATCTCAAACTTCAGGTAGTGAAGACATTATGTAGAACCATACTCAGAAAAAATCTAGGTTTTTGTTCATGTATTTAATCGGTAACAGATATACTCGCATTGTAAGACATTCCACTTTACTGTTATTACACAATTTAATGTTCAACAGTGGTATTATATTTATGAAGGACAATCAACAGCGAATTAATGGTGATATTTATATTCCTTAGACAGAAAATCATCGACTCCATAATAAAATGATATTGTACATACACCGTGTCATATAATCTTATTAATGAGCTAAACAAATTTAAGAGCTAGTAACTTAATCGATTTTCAGGTACCTCAAGAAGCATCCGCTCACAGTGATGGAAACTGTGAAGCGACAACTGTTTTCATATTTCTAACAGCGCTCAAGTTAATCCTGTGTACAATCAAATCTCCACTACACTTCATAATACTTTTTCTACTTCAACTATCAACTCTCATTTTGTCTTCGACTTCTTCCACACATGTCACTGGTGTTAACAATCTTAGTTCATGAATTGCTATCTCAATTCTCCTAAGACCACTCTTCAAACTGCATATTGGAACTTTCAGTATCCAAACCTTAGGTTGATTCAGACAACAGGACTTAGCTAAGACCCGAAAACTTCGTATCATCAGTGTATGCTATCTCTCCAAAGCACGGATACAGGATCTGACCTTATGTAACCAATGCAGAGATCTAGTGAGAAACACCCTTCGTGTATCTGGGAATGTAATAGCAGCTTCTTATGACCTCCCCAGTGTACGTATAGCACTAAGTCTGAAAACAGAACAGGCAGTTCCGGATTGAATCCTTGTAGATAACTACTTATATGCTAGCCATCTAAACGGTGTAGTAAGAGAGCTCCTTCGTCGTTTCTGCCCATTCTCTCAATGGCTACAGCTTGGATGGAGTAAGAGATGAGTTTTACAGGAAGTCTGAGAAAGCTTATTCGGTCTTTAATAGATTACGTATCTAGTGAATTGTGCGCGATATCTGCTGAAGCAGCCCCATTTTAAGTTAAGGCTGTGAAAAAATAGTCTAAGAAAGTAAAGAAACAAGCATTATAAAGTTTTTGGACATAGGTAGTTTTTGAACATTACTCATGTATCGTGAAACGACTGAGTGAGTAGTACTGTCTTAGGGCATAAAGTATGAGGAAAAGATGAGATTGCGAAATTTCACCAACTGAGATGGTTGGCATACACCTTACTTATAACCAACTACTGTCTACCTTGGTGAGTATTGTGAGTTGATGTAGGAGAAAACTAATATTGTTCAAACCAAAATGTGGGTTCAATCGATGAAATAACTTACTGTCGGTCTAAGCAATGTTGACAGATACAGACTATCTGGTTTGGATCTATACGATAACCATGATCAATGGTTGAAGAAACTGGGTAATGTGGCTCAGAGTCAGTCACCATAGTGCATATACATTCAATCTTTACTCCAAAACTTCAGTCCTAACATCCCACTTGTTAGCGGAATATAGAGTGGACTAAAGCGCGTTCCGTGAAGGATTTTGTTGGGGCACGTTGATTGGCTACTTCTCGTCTAACCAGAGCTAGTGGACAGTTCAAGAATACTCTAGAATCTTCTCGTGTAAAAATAATAAATATACTAACGTTTTTCTTATTGTAACCCCTACTTTCATCTACCGTTGGTATTTGGAATATAATTTCGCTCCCGTTCAACCATGTTCTTATTTGGGAACTTTTCGAGTGAATCGATGTGTGTGGGCTGTAATACTGCCCGGGTGCCCAGACCGAAGCAGGTGGTTTTCTTAGGGGGCCACTCCCCGAGCCTTTGACCTAAAGGTCTGATCCACAAGGCAGTGGAGCATCGTGAAGAGATGCATTCCCATGGAAGCCGGTGACCAACGATTGGTTCATACGCCATTTGTTCCCGCAGGATACTGGAGCCCATGTGCACCATTGGTTTGGAATCCGGTTAAAGCGCCGGACATTCTCTTTTCGTCCTCTCATTTTTGTAAACAACACCCCTGCCACGAGAAGGCAATGAGTAGGACTTCCCTGGCAGAGGCTGTATACGCGTGGCCGTGTGAGAGCATTTCGAGGGGGAGGGCGGGCCGACCCCACTCTCGGTCATACCAGATCATCGATGTCCAAAAATAATAAGCAATGGGAGTAGCTGTGTCGTAATAAAGAAAAATTATAACACCACTAAACATAAATAACCAGTCTGTAGTCTCGAATTATATTTCTCACTGCTCAATAATTCTCATTATCATTGCACCTACATTACTCCTAATTCCATTGGTATGCATCTTAATTTTATTATAATTGTGCCAAAGTTGGTAATTACAACTTGGCTCGATGCATATTTGTACAAGGCTTTAAGTTGATTACGGCTAGATGATCTGAAATAGGTTTCGCTTGACGACAACAAAGCCTAGCAATATAAAATTTGATAAAAGTTGTCGGTTTATTTTATTATTATTATTATTAAAACGATGTGCGATCCCTAAAACTGACAACACACATCACAGTGAATGAAATGAGTTTAATTAAAGGAACTACTCTTAAACAGTTGCTATTTACTTATATGATGGTAAAATGAAAACATGCTTACTTGTTCTAAATCGTTCCCCGAAACAATCATTGGGGGAAATAGATTTGGTTCAGTAACTTGATGAGAGGTCTTGGCGTCTTCATCACACAAAACTGTAACCTCAGTTTTGCACAGCCAGTGACAGGTCATGTGGCATTCTGAAGAAATAAAAATACAACATAGTTTTAAATACAGTTTGTTACGGATTAGTTTCACAATACGGTTACACTTTTGTCTATTTTGTACTAAAAGATACTACTTGGCTAGTTATTTTTTGGTAAGAGATAGAATGTTGGAGTTTGATTTTAGGGGTGAAAGCGGGGTTACTTGTAAAGTACAAATGTTTGGAAAACCCAAACAACACTCACTGTAAATTTACGCTTTTAGAAATGAATTCAAAAGGCAAACAAAGTGATGTAACAAGACTTTCATGTTAGCAAGGTGTATGAAAAAAGGATGTCAAATAAGATGCAGATAGAAAACTGTGTACTTACGTCTTGTGCAAGCTCACACAAGCTAAAAAAAAACACGGACAGTCAGTTAGTCATACCGTTTTTTCACTAATCTAAATTAAAGTTGTGATGCATTCCACGTGGTGTCAAATGACTGAGATTAACTTACAACACACTCAAGATATTATACTCGTACCTATTGACACCTATCAGTAAGATATGAGTGCATTTGTACGACATTCCTTTCTCTTGATCTTAAATACCCAGTGATCCGGACCAAAAATATTAGCTTAGTCATGGTTTGGTCATGCAATTCTTTAAAATATCTGCTAATACGGAAACAGGAAAGCGGTTAAGTAATCAGTTAGTATTTCCTCTAGTCTAAAAATAACAATTATTAATACCCATTATGCTGCCACTTAGGTATGAAATAATCGAAGACAGATTTATTCATCTTATTTTTTATTACTATTTACTTTCTTGAAGGGAACTTGAGGTGACGAATTTACATATGCATTCGTCATGTTTACTGAAATTTCCCGATCCCGTAGTCATCCGGTTTGTAAAGGTCTTATAAAACGACGAATAAACACAACTTCTATTTTATTTATACCACTCTTCACGTTCACCAAGGAAAAAGGTCGACAAAAGGCCACTTCGGTGAAACGTTTCTTTTTATGCTCTTCCTAATAAAATTTATATTATGAGGTGTTAAACTTCAACATTACATACACAGCATTTTTAAAAGCCGAATCAGTAGTGTACAGTTATCACTTCCTGAATGTCCCTATCATTTGATTTTGAGGTATCTGAGGAGGAAGCAGGGTTAGTGTTGGTATCGGAAACCTGGGAGGGTAACCGGATAACCTTACGGATAACTGTTTACGGCCGATAACACACACTTCTCTCGTGAGTAGTACCTTATTTATTAGCTCCATACATTTTAAACCTTAAAGCTAGAATCAAGTATAACACACTAACATTTACTATGCCATACAGTTGGAAGTATAGCCTTGTCCTCGAACCTTAGGTTCGTTATTGAAATCTTGCTGCTATCCGACTATTATGGTGGTGACGAGATGGGATAATCCGACACAGGCCAAATGAAAAGTGATATATGTTGATAGTTTTAACTTACTGAGACAGATATACCCTAGTGCTTAAAAATATAACTTTATTTCATAAGAGATATAGGTATATATTTGTGGATAAGTTTTGAACGTTCTTTCGACTCAGCTACCGGATATAAGCTTCCTACTCATTCTTGGTTTTATCAATCAAGTAGCTGGTTTGGACGCGCATTTAAGAAACTTGTATACCATTATCAGACCGACTACCAAATAACATAGCCAGATATATAAAAAACTAGGGCTACACTATAATTTATGGACGGGCCAATCAGATATAAGATAACGAGTCACAAATTTTGGTCGTTACAGTTCTCAAACGAACAGTAATTACTAGTGACAAACACTGAAATGCCTGGCAAGCGCAACAAGACTAACGGAAACAAGGTGTTGGGTCATGAAGAAATGTAGTCAGATGCGCCTCCTGATATACGGCAAGTCCCTTTTGATACATCTTCACGTCATGGCTTTAATACTAGTTTAGTAAGTAAGCACAGCAAAATTAACTCTAGCATCACCCTAGCAGAGTTAAAAGAAAAGCAGCTGGGGGAAAGACAACTATTAGAGATTTGAGATTTGAAAGACAGGCAGAGGAAGCAGCTGTTGTGCCTTCATAGAGAGTTAGGGTCGTTAAGGCTACAAGAGAACATATGTAGTAAAGTATCTTCTGCCTCCAATTGTGACGACAGAGAACAGGAGTATGTTCACAGTTTCGTAAGCCGTTCTCATGACTTTAGAATAAAGTCCCCAGGAAAGTCAAAACTGTTAGATTGTCCAGGAACGAAGAAGAAGAAGGAAGTGACCTTGGCATCTCTAAGTGTGGGTCTTGAGCTCCCAAAAGTAGAACTAAGTACTTTTGATGGGCAACCAGCCAAATACTGAAAATTTATCAGACAATTCGAGTTATATGTGGTATCCAAGGTCGAAGACGATGGTCAACGGCTCTTGTTACATTATTTTAAAGGAAAGGCTCGAGAGGCCGTAAAAGAATGCATAATGCTTCCACCATCATCGGGTTATCGTATAGCATGCGATATACTGAAACAGTTGTTTGGCAGAACACACGAAGTAAGTCGGGCTTTGCTGAAAGGTTTGACTGAAGGTCTCGATATTGCGCATAATGACAGAGAAAGTCTGTCTACGCTAGCTATAAAAATGGAAAACTGTTCTATAGCTTTAGAGCAAATGGATTACTCAGCGGATCTCAACATTGTAGTAACTATAGAAAGTATAATAAAGAGGTTGCCCACGGCTTTACAGATGAAATGGGCTGAAACAGTCGGAAAGGTAACAGCAAATGGGAGAGAACCCACTTTTGCCGAGTTAACATAATTTGTATCATCTAGAGCAGAAATTTTACTCAGCAGATTCGGGCAGATTGCAACAGCTAGTGAACGAGTTGTAAGCAAGGTAGCCTGTTCCACACAAGAGTTGTAAATTTTTAGCAACTCACCTTGTGTTATATGCGGAGAAAATCATGGGATTGATAAGTGTTCCCAGTTCCCTACATTGGCAGTCAACGATAAGTGGACGAAAGCGAGAGAAAAGGGTTTGTGTTTTTGCTGTCTTAGAAGGGGCCACAGATCAGTGGATTGTAAAGATAGTGTTGTGTTTACTATCGAAGGTTGCCGGGATCGACATTACCCACTGTTGCATAAACCCATTAAAGTTCAAAGTGCTTCGAGTGAGTATTTTGAAGAAAGTCGTTGTACACAGAGTCACTAAAAGAGGATGTGTTTCTTGGTTTAATCCCTGTACGCCTTAGAGCTGGGGATAAGGAAGTTTGTGGATATGCGTTTCTAGACAATGGCTCAGATACAACCCTAATCAAGTCAAGTATCGTATGACTTTTAGGTTTATCGTCACAGAGTGCATCGATTACTATCATAACAGTAAACGGAAATAAGTTAGCCAGATTGACAACCAAAGCTTTTGAAGCCTACTCATTAAACGGAAACGAATGTATATGTATTGAACAGGCTGTTGTATTAGATGATTTGCCAGTGCATAGACCAATAGAACCTGTGAAGGACAGTTCTAAAAACTGGCCCCATCTTATGGACTTACCTTGGCCAGAGTTAGTGGGTGGCGAAGTTATGTTGCTTATTGGTTGTGACGTGCCTGAAGCGCATTGGGTCCTGAACCAAAGGTTAGGTGGAAAAAAGTCCTTATGCTGTTAGGACACTGCTAGGATGGGTTCTTTTTGGACCAGCAGGTCACAACAAACATGGGGAAAGGATTGTAAATTGTTTCTCAAACTGATGACCCTGTGGAGCATAACCCTGAGTTTGCTGACGACTATTCCTCTGATAAATCATTATCTCTGAATGATTCAAACGTAAGTGGCATAGGAGAGCGCGATATTTACTTCGATGAAAGTTACGAAATTGTTATTTTACCAAGAGGAGTGGCTGAGGAAGACATTGCAGTCCCTGTTATTGGCAATGGGTCTGGTATGTGTAAAGCTGGCTTCACCGAAGATGATGCTCCCAGAGCCGTATTCCCCTCTATTGCTGGAACAACTAGACATCAAGGAGTGATGGTGGGAATGGATCAAAAGGACAGTTATGTGGGAGACGATGCTCAATCGAAACGTGGTATCCTGTCACTGAAGTACCAAATTGAACATGGTATTATGACTAGGTGGGGTGATATGGAGATATGGTACCATGCATTCTACAACGAGTTGCGAGTGGCAACAGAGGAACATCGTGTTGTTGACGGAAGCTTCATTGAACCCGAAAACAAACCGTGAGATGGCACAGGTCATGTTTGAGACGTTTTATACTACAGCTATGCATGTTGCTATCCAAGTGGTGTTGTTACTGTATGCATCTGGTCGTACAACTGGTAAAGTGTGGGACTCAGGTGAGGCTATGACCCACACAGTTCCGATTTATGAAGGTTATGCATTGCCTTATGCTCTTTTGCGTCTGGACCTTGCTGGTAGAGACCTTACCGACTTTGTGATAGTCTCTAACTGAGACAGGTTGCAGTCTCTCTGTCCATTCGTGGAACATATTCAGGCGCAAACCTCCAGACGTTTTGCTTTATAGTAAGTTATTAGTCTTGGTGAGAAAAGGAACATATAAGGAAGCTGCGGATGCTTTGGTTTCTGGAGGTGGTCGGATAGCAGCAGACCATAGCTTAGGTTCATGGATGTACAGGCGTACTGTTGTAAGTCCTGTGCTTCCCAATGATATAGAGCAGTTAGTAAAGAGAGCCATGACAGGGATGTATTTAAAGGTGTATTTGCGTAGCTGGAGGGATTATGGGGCCGGTGTAACGGAAAGAGGACGATAAAAATCCCTGCACAGCTTTTCGTTGGACAGTACTGTCATATATTTGTTTCTTCTCCCGGTCGTGTATTTTAACCTTTATTCAAATCTCGTTTAAATTTAGCACGGAGTTTGTGTTTCGATATAATGTGATACGAGTGTCTCCAAAACGCTTTGTAGGCTATACAGAAGAACGTAGTCTGTCCTATTTGAATGCATTTCGGTTCTTCAGTCCTGCGTTCAAACCGAATACTGGCAGTTCGGTCGTTACAACTCATCAATACGTTTGGCTTAATACAGTTTTGGCATTATAGCTGAAGTTAGTTGCTGATGAAAACCCTAAATCTAATTTTTAACCCTAATCACCAAACGTAAATGAGAATTTTAACTGCTTTATAACCCTCTTTTAGTCCTAATCAGTAGGTGTCTACCCTCAGAGTCACTTCAGCGTCGCTCAAAGGTCGTCCGTAAATTATAGTCTCACCGAAACTAGTTCGGGTGTAATCCAATCGTATTAGAGTGCATCGCTGATCACACTGAACAAACGCAAACAAGTGTACAGAAACATAAGTAGAGGTGTTCAGTGGTACAGGAGACTATGTATCAAGGTGTATATACACCAAGGTGTTACGATAATTTGACAATCGAAACAGGCAATAACAGTTTTCTTCACAATAACTGACTATTCAGGGGAAACCCATAAAGTAAGGTGTGTGCCGTTCAAGCCGCTTTTATGTATTGATTAACTGTACGACATCTTAATAAATTATGAGAACTCACTTGCACACTTTAAGCAGACTGGACGCCAACCGAATTCCCAAATAGGTTGGTTGCAATGATCACAAAAGGTATCACCATCAAGTGGGACGGGACAAAACAAATGACCATTACTTGAAGTTTCTTTTGTAGAGTAAATTTTATCAGCACACATTAGGTCAAGTTCGATCGCCTCTGGACCAAGCTTGGAATACAAATGCGACTGAATGCGATTTCCAGCTAGATCAAGCGAATCAGATAAGGTTAACCGCTTGAAACTAAGGCGAGGACCATGTTCATTGTTTTTATTGTAGTCTTCCATGTGAACAACACTATTCTTAGGCATTGGACTAGGATAATGTCCGTTTACATGAACACTTCCATGTGAACATGATGTTTGTAAAGGATCAGAAGGACTTGAATCATTGTTCATCCTTAGAAAGCTAATAAATGCCTTTTTAACCTCTAACATCATTTCCAATAAATATGGTCCAATCATAAACTAGACATTTAGAGAAAAATCTTGGTGCCAGAGTACCGCACCTAAGTAGACAAGGCGCATCGCAATCCTTCGATGTTCAGTTATTATGTAATTCTTATTACGGAGTATCAAGAGTAACAGACTGGCCTGAACTTGATAGTTATTCTCAATAGATATCTCTGCTTTTTCCAGGTCCTTCTTAAAGTGTACAGTGGTGTACAGTGTACAGTGGACATATTTACTAAAATCGGCTTGACCCGGTCCTATTAAAACATCAAAGCAGCCAAGAAAACATCCCTTAGGTAGCTAATACTACATATATTAGACTGCTTGGGTTTGTACGCACGCCGTTTGGCCTGAGGAATGCCACAGAAACACTACAACTATTTGTGGACAGCTTACTTTGCTACGTGTCATTTTGCACAGAGGTTGTAAGCCGCGATCCATAAACAAGCCCATCCTCGTACTCAAAGAAAGAGCTTGACTTAGAAAGTTACGTGTAACAACAATGGGACCAAATGTTCACATTCAAACTAATTAGTGCTCGTGAACAATAGTAAGTAAATATGTGTAGTTGTATTGGACCCTAACCACATAAACCTCGAAGCTGAACAGGAGACAAATGTGGAAATAGATATTATTATTATTGTTATTCACAAACATCTTATGGGTACATAGGTGTTGTGAAGAAACCATTTCAAGTTTCTTCAAAAATGCAATAATACACAAGTTTCAATAATGTTAGCATTATATTCGCCATATTTGATAAAAGAGAGTAATAATAATTGAATAATAATAATAACTCACATTCTGTGTAATTGAGAGAAATATTGAATTGAGCTTCAAGAAGTTAAGGAAAAAAAATAAGGGAATAGAAATAAAGGAAACGTGAAATACGCAAATAGATTAATAGGCGTGTTTATGAACACACAACAAGAATAATCGAACATGTATGTATCGTCAAATTAATAACAAAAATAAAATAGAAAATAATTAAGAAAAAATAACTTATTATTGCAGTAAGAGACGACGCTAGAACAAATGTTTGTGCAGTCATCGTTTGGAGTGATGTTATGGAAGTCTCAATTAAGTAAAAAGGATAAAGAAATATCAATATGTATGAGTCATATATGCATTGTGAAGATAAAACGAGTCTAAGAAGTTAATTTACATGTAACACAAGTTATTGCCTTAATTACAATCTCGTAATCTTAAGAATAATATTTATTTAGAAGGAAAAAAGAGAGAAAAGAAATGGACACCTAGTGGAAGGGTTAAACCATGATAATAATAGTAATTGTGTAATGAATATAGACCTCTAAAGTAAACCAACAATTTAGAAAAATAAAATAAATCCTTTAGTGAGCTCGGATTAATACATGTAGATTTATGTAATAGTATACAAAGTGAAACCGGATATTAGTATAAACATTTGTGCAATAACAATTAAGAATGATGCTATGAAGGTCACAATTAATTTCAAACGACAATCAGGAATTCAATATATTTGGAAGGATAAGGTGAGATGAGAAGAATATCTAGTGTGTCGGAAGATCAATAACGATATTAATAACAGCAATAATTATAGTTACGAACATCAGCAGACTTCATATATTAGTATGAATAGAAATAAAATAAAATAGACGTGAAAAGTTTCAAAGGTTACATTTCGCTTTTCAGTCAATTAGATGGATGACGGATCTTGTTTGCATAAATCATGATTAAATACTTTGATATCCATTAGGGGACATAATCCAATTTCGGAAAGAAAATCACCAACGAGACTTCTGAACCGGGCTGTAGTTTCACTGCAACGGAGGTCCACTGGTAGTCTGCTCCACATGGTTGGGTAGGGAATAACGAAATAATTCTGGTGTAAATTTGTGTGGGTTCTCGGAATCACTAGAATATTCTCCTTATTGCGTGGATTGTGGAGTGACATCATAGAGTATGAAGGGGTGGAAACCGAAAAGTAGTAAATGCTGTTAATAAGCCGATAGATAAAGACATGGTTTAATTTGATACGTCTGATCCAGAGCAACTCCGCCTGCAGCTCTTATAGGGTTACTGCCGTTCCCAAGCCCGGGTAAAGAGGGAGGGTTGGGCATGGGGTTAGCGTCCCCATCCCGTGGAAAACTAACTCGCTAAAAAAACGCTTACCAGAAAAAATAATCCAAACCATTTTAACTCTGCCCTGAGAGTTAGAAGGTCTTCATTTAGAAGAATTATGACGCTTCATGGTGAAAGCCGAGTTCCTTCGGAAGCCATGATGCCGATGCCCCTTCTAACAACCAGAGCAACAATTTTTATAGGTACATGGAACGTTCGAACAATGTGGGAAACCGGGAAGACCAGTCAAATATCAATGGAAATGAGGAGATACAACTTAGCAGTACTGGGAATCAGCGAAACCCACTGGACCCAAGCTGGACAGAAAAGGCTAGCTACGGGAGAGATGCTGCTATACTCCGGTCACGAAGAGGACAATGCTCCACACACTCAGGGAGTCGCTCTTATGCTGTCCAAAGTAGCACGAAATGCACTTGTAGCATGGGAATCTCACGGATCCAGAATCATCAAAGCATCATTCAAAACAAAGAAGGAGGGGATCTTAATGAATATTATCCAATGTTATGCACCCACCAATGATAGCAACGACGAAATTAAAGATCAGTTCTACGAGAGGCTGCAGTCAATCATTGAGAAATGCCCAAGGAAGGACCTGACTATTCTGTTGGGAGATCTAAATGCCAAAGTCGGAATAGACAACACTGGATATGAAGATTTATGGGACGACATGGACTGGGAGAAAGAAACGAAAATGGGGAGAGATTCGCAAATCTGTGCGCATTCAACAAATTGGTCATAAGAGGCACAATATTTCCACACAAGCGTATACACACGGCTACATGGATCTCACCGAACCACACCACAGAGAACCAGATAGATCATATTTGCATCAATAAAAAATTCCTAAGGACAATGGAAGATGTGAGAACCAGGAGAGGAGCTGACGTAGCTTCGAATCATCACTTGGTTGTGGCCAATTTAGAACTGAAGCTAAAGAAGAATCGGACAACTGGACGAACAGCAATACAAATGTTCAATACAGCCTTCCTTCGAGATACTGACAAACTCAATGGATTCAAGATAGTTCTCAGCAACAGGTTCCAAGCCTCACAAGATCTACTGAAGGAAGAAGAAACTACTATGGAGGACAACTGGAAAGGTATCAAGGAAGCATTTGTAGTGGCATTGAACAATAACCGCACAATCCACAAAGCTGAACACAATACTACTCAGAAAATAGATATTCAATATTCAACACGGAGAAATACCTAACAATGGAGAAGGCGCGAACAAGGAATTGAATGGACTGGAGTTGATCGAGTGGCATGGCTCGTCCATGCAGGCGTGGTCCATCTCAGTGTTACTTTATATCTTCTATTCATATTAAATATATTGTTCTTTCTCTAGCCTAACCTTGTTCTACATCATGTATTGGTAATTGATGCGATACAGTGAGTTGGTGTAGTCGATGGTGTGACTTCCACGTAAGATCTTATAGGTAGGGCAGTTATATCATGACAAATCTACAAATTTAGGATTAGGTCTATTATAAGAGCAGTACTAATATCATAGTAGACCATAATTCTACACATTAACTTCAACGTGCCAAGAGGTTCTGGGTCTAAAGAAATACCATCATAAGGAATGGATCTCTACAGAAACACTGGACAAGATCAAAGAAAGGAAGAACAAGAAGGCAGCAATAAACAACAGCCGACCACGAGCAGAGAAAGTTCAAGCACAAGCTGAATACATAGAAGTAAACAAGCAAGTGAAGAGGAGCATTAGAACCGACAAGAAGAAATACGTTGAAGAACTGGCAACGACGGCAGAAAAAGCTGCTAGAGAAGGAAATATGAAACAGCTTTACGACACAACGAAGAAACTAGCAGGGAAATACAGTAAACCAGAGAGACCGGTCAAAGACAAAGAAGACAAGCCAATCACTGAAATTCAACAACAGCGAAACAGATGGGTAGAATACTTCGAGGAACTCCTGAATAGGCCGGCTCCAATGAATCCACCGAACATCGAAGCAGCACACACAGATCTTCCTATAGATGTCAACCCACCAACGACGGAAGAAATTAGAATGGCCGTCAGACAAATCAAGAACGGGAAAGCAGCAGGACCCGACAATATGCCAGCTGAAGCACTGAAATCAGACATCGAAGCAACCACAAACATGCTTTATCTTCTATTCAAAAAGATTTGGGAGGAGGAACAAGTGCTGATGGACTGGGAAGAAGGACACCTCGTCAAGATTCCAAAGAAAGGAGATCTGAGCAAATGTGAAAATTACAGGGGCATTACACTACTGTCAATACCAGGGAAAGTCTTCAACAGAGTGTTGCTAAACCGGATGAAGGACGCAGTAGACGCCCAACTTCGAGATCAACAGGATGGATTCGGTAAAGATTGGTCATGCACAGACCGAATTGCAACACTACGGATCATCGTCGAACAATCAGTTGAGTGGAACTCATCACTATACACCAACTTCATTGATTATGAAAAGGCATTCGACAGTGTAGATAGGAGAACGTTATGGAAACTTCTTCGACACTATGGAGTTCCTGAGAAGATTGTCAATATTATCCGGAACTCATACGACGGACTACAGTGCAAAGTAGTGCATGGAGGACAGCTGACAGATGCATTCCAAGTAAGGACCGGAGTCAGACAACGCTGTCTACTCTCTCCTTACCTCTTTCTTCTGGTGGTCGACTGGATTATGAAGACCTCAACATCTGAAGGAAAACACGGCATTCAATGGATAGCTCAGAACTAATTAGACGATTTGAACTTCGCACATGACCTAGCCCTCCTATCGCATACACACGAACAAATGCAGATAAGACAGCCAGTGTAGCAGCAGTCTCTGCATCAGTAGGCCTCAGCATACACAAAGGAAAACCAAGGTCCTCAAATTCAAAGCGGAGAACAGC